CACCTGCCAGGACCTTCTACCTCGAAACCGGGGAAGCATGCTCTATTGGCATGTGCATGGTGCACCCACCACGCTCTAGTGTGTCGTTGTTGGTTCGACGATCTTGAACTGGGTGCAAGAGTTTCTCATGGCCGGCCGGAATTGCATGTCGTGCGTTGCAGATACGTGGGCGTGGAGGAGGAGCCTGGGATGGAGCTCTTCTACTACTTCGTCCAGTCGGAGAGGAGCCCCGGCACGGACCCCGTGATCGTGTGGCTTACTGGCGGGCCCGGCTGCTCGGGCTTTAGCGGCATGGTTTTCGAAGTCGGTTGGCCACAACAATCTTAAAGGTTTTTTTTAAAGGAGGATAACCTCAACCTTTACATCTAGGCGATGCATGCAGACATTTTATTAATTATTCACAAAACCTTACAAAGTAACACATCAGTAAATCTGAAGCCACCATTTGACAACATCTATTGCTACTTCTATCCACTTGTTGACGGGTCCCGGTAGTCCGAGCCGAATACTCAACAGATCTCGCACCAAATCCTAGCATCTAAAGCCGGAGGGCCCCACCAAGCCGCTTGCCGGGTCTGTTGCACACACCGGCCCGACACACTATCAGAGTCCGCCGCCGCCGTCTTTCACCGTTTCATCTTCAGAGCAGATACTGACGCATCATCCATGTCAGGCTTGCCGTGGACGCCACCACGACGCCAGACAACGCCACCTCCCTATGCACATCCATCAAGACGTATCCGACACTGAGACTCTGCTGCACCATGTCGCCGAGATCCACCGCCATCGACGCGGTAGATGCCACGTTGCACCACCTCCTGATCCATATCTCAAAGTGGGGCGACGGTTTTGTTTGTTCGTCATGGATATGTTTTTCCCCTCTCGCTCGTCGGGGGCGCGGCTGGTCGGCAGGGGCGCCATGCTAGGGGTAGGGCGCGGCGGCGGAGAGTTGCACGTTGGCGCTGAGTGGCGTGGGCGTGTGGCAGATGGCGTGCTCAAGAGGCGGCGACGTGCGTCTGGATCTGGCGCGGTGGCGACGTTGGGTGTAAGGACGTAGTGAGGAAACTCAAAGGAAATTGAGAGAGAGGGACGAAGAGATAATGGGGAGAGAAAAATGAAACAGAGAATGGGAAAAGAAACAAAGAAACAGAGAGAGACAGTTTTTCATAGCCAGAGCGAAAGTCCTCCCCAGCTCAAATGAGCTCGGAATGAACACTAAAATCCAAAAAAAAAACTGAAAATAATCTGATATTTTTGGCAAACTTTAACAAATGTTTTTAGTACTTGAAAATTTTCATCGTCAAATTACATTCATGGGAGTCATGGCAAAAACAAAATCAACACTCCAAAATGTTTTAATCTGATCACCAACCTGTACGTTCACTTAATAGACAAAAGATAGCAAATTTTCACACCGGTACCATGTTTCCCTATGGAGATCAGCCCGCTGGGCAGCACCTTAAGAGTATTGTCAATCAAGTAGATAAAAGCGAAATCACTAGTTAATGAGTACTCGTTACAAAGATCATTTCCACTTCTCAGGTTGCGATAAGTGGCGTGCTGCATGTGCGCCATTTGTCGCAACCTGAGAGTTTTCTTTTTTTCATAGATTCATTTATTTAAAATGGTTTATCTTTTAAATCGTGCGTCCAAATCTTAAACCGTTTTTATCGTTGGATTCCTCCAATCGAGATTTTCAAAACTAGTACATTCAATGTTGATAGGTTTTGACGATTTTTTTTCTCGATAAAAACCAGACGAGAAAAACAGTCGAAAAAACCGACGTGGGAGCACGGGTTTTCTCCCTTTCCGAAAGAGGCACACCCGTGTCTCTCGCGGAAGGAAAAAAATAGAAAGCGTGTTTTTTTCATTTCCGAAAGGCACGGTCGTGACTCTCACGAAAGCACAACCCTGCTTCTCGCGGAAGCAAAACCGTGGCTCTCACAAAAGGAAAAAAACAGAAAACATATTTTTTTTCCTGCCAGTTCACACCCACTCGCTCTGATCTAAGTCACACGCATATATCAAATGCCATGTAAATCGCCACATCATCAGTTTTGTTATATAGAAACGTGTCTCTATTCAACTCAAGCCATTGGACCCTAGAGCTGACAATAAGCATTTTCCCACTATCTCAAGCATGCGTGGAAAAGGGACTGCGACAAGGAGATCCGCTATCTCCAATGCTCTTCATTCTGGCCATGGATCCCCTTCTGAGGATGTTTGAGTGCGCCACCAGTCGTGGCATTCTAGAGCCCATTCCTCGAAATGTCGTTAGGATGAGAACAAGCTTATATGCTGACGATGCTGCCATCTTTGCCTCTCCGGATCGCTCCCAGCTTGATGCTATCCTCAAGATTCTGGAGGTGTTCAGCTCTATCTCGGGCCTCAAAATTAACCCGGCAAAATGTGTTGTCTATCCCATTCGTTGCCAGCAAGATTCTGTGCAGAATGGCCTTGCTGGGTTCGGTGGCGCTGTTGGATCATTCCCTTGCAAATATCTTGGGCTCCCCCTCTCTTTCAAGAAGTTGAGAAGGATTGATTTATAGTCTTTCCTTGAAAAGGGGGCTGCAAGGTTAAGCTGCTGGAAGGGGAAGCTTCTGAACCGGACCGACCGCCTTGACTTGACCAACTCTGTCGTCACGACAACCATCACCTTTTTCCTCACTGTTTTTGCTCCAAATGGTTGGTTCACTAAGAAATTTGACAAGTTAAGGCACAATTTCCTTTGGAATGCTGATGAGGAGGCACATGGTGGAAAATGTCTCGTTAATTGGAGAAGGATTTGCGCGCCCAAGAATGTGGGTGGCCTAGGCATCAAAGATATTCATGCCTTCAGAAGGGCTCTTCGTCTTCGCTGGCCGGTATGAATGGGATGATGTGGATAGACCCTGGAAGGGGACTTCGGTGCCTTGCGAGCAGGCTGACCTGAATCTTTTTGCGGTATGTACTACCATCTCTGTGGGTGATGGTCGAAGCACAAGTTTTTGGAACCATAGATGGTTGAAGGGACAGGCCCCCAAGGAGATTGCTCCTGATCTGTTCAAGCTGGCCAGATCTAAGAAGCTGTCTGTTTGTGAAGCTTTGTCCAATGGCGCTTGGATGAGAGGGTTGAGGAATATAAACACTCCCATGCTAATGGACTCCTTCATTAATTTTTGGTCGACTTTGCAAGGAACCGCGTTGCAGCCTTGGCCTGACTCAATTCGCTGGAACCTAACGGCAAATGGAGTATACTCTGCAAAGTCGGCCTATCACTTTCAGTTCCTAACTCGCATCCCACAGCCTCACCTTCAGCGAGTTTGGAGTATCAAAGCGGAGGGGGAGATCAAAAATTTTACCTGGACTCTGCTCCAGAACAGATTATGGACGGCTGACAGACTTCGGGCACGTAATTGGGGTCACAATGATGCTTGCTCGTTTTGTGACCAAACCTTAGAATCTGCCATGCACCTGATCCTTGATTGCCCTTTTGCGAAAAAGGTTTGGCTCAAAGTTGGTGCCTCCTACCCTGCGGCTGCTCAGGCAGCCTTGGGTGCGACATCCATCCTAGATTGGTGGAGTAAAGTGAGAAACCTCAAGAAGAGGGGCAATGCTACCGATGATTGCACAGCGGCAGTGTATATTGCTTGGCACCTTTGGATTGAGAGGAACAACAGAGTTTTCAAGGCCTCGTCCTGCTCTACTTTTGATGTGCTGCTACTTGCAAGAGATGCGTTTGGCCTCCTTAAGGAGGCAGGGGAATAGTAGCCTGAGAGTGGCATGGTTGGATGCCTTTGGCTTCAGCATTTTTTTTCCTTTTTTTCTTTCTTGATGTAATCCTTTCCGGCTGCTGCTCCGGCAGTCTTGTACATTCTTTCCCTCTACTATAATGAAAAGGCAAAGCTCCTCCCGTTCCGATCAAAAAAAAAAATCTCCTCGTGGCCTCGTGCACGGTGTGAAAATATGAGACGTGGAGTAAAAAAAGATGTACGCGAACATCAGCTTATTTCGTGTGCATTCGTTATCACCGTTGGGGCCTTGGGGGCCTGTTCAGCTTCTTATTCCTTAGCCTCTTTTAACACAAACGCAGACACTCGTACCGCAAAACTGGAGGCGTTCGTAGTCGTAGGTGCTTCTACCGCAAAACTGGAGCATGCTGCAGATATTGAAGCAGCGGAAGCAGCGGCTCTAGCAGAGGACCTGAAATTAGCGGCAAATCTTGGCATTAATTCGCTCCTGGTGCAGATGGACAGTTTAACCGTGGTGGAATCTCTAAACACGAACTCTGGTCATTCTATGATAGCTGGCCATTTACTTGATATTTGTCGTAGCCTTATATGTGGAAGTTTTCGGAAAGGTCTTAATCAAGCATTGTAATAGAAAATCTAACATGGTAGTGCATGTGCTAGCCCAAGGACCGTGTTGATCCTCCTAATCTGTGGTTGGACACACCTTCTAGTTTTATTGCTAGATTTTTAGCAGATGTTGTAACTGTTATTTGAATTAATAAAGCTAGGCATGAAGACCTTTTCGTCAAAGAAAAATCGCAGACACTCGTACAAACGCACATACACACATATATGTAGCACGCGCGTACATCTATCTCTATGAGCATCTATGAGATATTGAGCCGGCATCACATCTTAAGATTAAAGAAGTCATCACAAGTGTCTTCGTAATCAACGGGGACATCTTTTCCCCTGCTAAACAAGCATCGCCAGAAAAAGTAAAATAGATTTAGAAAAATACGAGCACTAGTGTCAAATGTAGGACTTAAACCCCGGTGGGATCAGTCAATTACTGAGGACATAAATGCACGAGTGCCAAACAACAAGTGAGTAGGTGATCCGTCAATAACATTTCCACTGCACCTGGAAAGTCAATTCACTGTAATCTGTAGTACTCCTACATTTAATTCGACGCGAGCAGCACTGCTGGAGTTGTACTATAAACGAAGTCGGTGCCTTCAACTAGAAGCAAGCACACGAAAAAGCAAGCAAGCAAGCAGGAATAGCAATATGCCCGTCAAGCTTCTCCGGACGCCCACCGCCGGGCGACGCCACCACTTGCTGGTGCTGCACCTCGTTCCCGGCCTCCTGCTTGTGCTGCTCTCGTGCTCGTGCTCGGCGTCGGCGTCGGCGTCGACGGTGGTCACCCACCTGCCAGGATTCGATGGCCCTCTCCCCTTCTACCTCGAAACCGGGTAAGCATATTGGCATGTGCATGGTGCGCCCACCGCGCTCTAGTGCGTCGTTGTTGGTTCGACATCTTGAACTGGGCGCGAGAGTTTCTCATGGCCGGCCGGAGTTGCATGCCGTGCGTTGCAGATACGTTGGCGTGGAGGAGGAGACCGGGACGGAGCTCTTCTACTACTTCGTCGAGTCGGAGAGGAGCCCCGGCACGGACCCCGTCATCCTGTGGCTCACCGGCGGGCCTCGCTGCTCGGGCTTCAGCGGCTTCGCCTTCGAAGTTGGTCAGTCCACCTCTTGCCGCTCGCCGGCCGGTCCGGTTTTCCACTGCAAATTAATACTACCTCCGCGGCTGATCCATGAGACCCATCCATGAGTTGATCCATGGCCGTCTTGCACCAACCGCAGGTCCCGTGAAGTATGTGCTAGCGCCGTACACTGGAGTTTTGCCGCGGCTGGTACAGAACCCGCTGTCATGGACCAAGGTGAGACCGAACGACGCTGATTGCTGAGCCTTGTTTCTTCTTCCTCTGTTCCTCGTTTATACTCTCAGGAACAGAGGAAGCATTTTTAGCTTCGTGGTTTACTGACAGCGGCGATCATCAGATGGCGAGCATCATCTTCCTCGATTCGCCGGTCTGCTCGGGCTTCTCGTATGCTCGTGACCCCAAAGGCTGCGACGTCGGAGACTACTCGTCGTCTCTGCAAGTCCAAAGATTCCTGAACAAGGTGACGATCGAGCTCGCCCAGTGTCCTGTCTGTCAATAATTCAGTAAGAGCTTTGTGGGTTTATTACTGGCCGTTCAATGCCTGGATTTATGTGCAGTGGTTCACTCATCACCCGCAGTACCTTTCAAATCCTTTCTACCTTGGAGGAGATTCATACGCCGGAAAGGTGATTCCACTTATTGCAACATACATTTCACAAGGTAATTTTCTCTTCCCAACAGTCTACATAATCCCTAATAACACCACTTCTCTACAAGGTTTGTAAAGCAGAGCAAGGCAAGTTGTGCCAAGGAAACTAGAAAACCAAATACATTTTCACACATATTTCGAGTCACCAAGCATCTTTAAATTTGCTTGTACTATCCTCCAGGAACTGAAAAAAGGGAGCAGCCTCTCATTAATCTCAAGGCAAGATATTCTCTAGCCTTCAAACATTTGTTATATATTCTTGCAATGGCGAAAGGAGGGCAAGGAGTGTTAATGCAATTAATTATTTCCAGGGCTATTTGGTCGGCAATCCTATAACAGACCCAAAGTTCGATAGAAATTTCCGAGTACAAGGTGCTCATGGCTTTGGGATAATATCTGACCAAATATATGAGGTAATTCCAAATTCATTCGCTTTGACAAAAGTGTGGCCATAATTTTTTGTGTTGTGTGTCAATCTAAAGAATTTGTACCATGTTTTCCTTTTCTTCCCGGAAGGCTGCAATGAAAAACTGCAAAGGAAATTATGTAATCCCCGAGAATCAACTGTGTGCTGAGGTGCTAGAAACTGTAGACAGTGTAAGATTTATGTGCTGACATTTTTTTTCTGAACTTAATGCTATTCTCAACATGGGCTAATGTGCATCCCTTTTGCTGCAGCTCATCTCTGAAATCGCAGACGGGCACGTCTTGTACAAAAAATGTGTCGTCGCCACGCCAAAGCCCATAGATGATGCTACAAGAAGAAAATTTCTGCTAGAAGAATCAATCAAGCCAAATGAAGCGCCCGGTCGACCTACCGTCGATTGTTTTGTCAGTCTTTTGTTATCCCTGGACTGTCAGTTTGATTAAAAGATGGTTGTGATACTATTCTCATTCAAAAACTCATCTGGAATGCCTTTCAAAACTGCAGACATACGGTTACTACCTGGCATACTTTTGGATGAACAACAAGATGACTAGAGATGCTCTCGGTATCAAGGGGGTAAGCCACCTTATGTTTTGCCACAAATTTCTTTCAGAGCATTCGTCTAGATCTAGGGTTAAAACAATGGAAGTCTAGAAACAGTATTGTCTGAATCACCAAGAACAATATTGACGAAAACGAATTCCGCAATAGGGAACAGTTAGTGAGTGGGTGAGATGCAAAAAAGAACTCCCCTACACACAGGACATGCCAAGCAGCATACCGTATCATCTTAATCTCACCAAGAGAGGCTACCGTGCACTCGTGTACAGGTACGAGCATTTAAGCAACTTTTCTTATTCATAGTAGCTGGTATGGTAATTGTTTTTTCCAGACCTTGTAACCAATACCTTGTGTCTACGTGAGCGCAGCGGAGACCATGATCTCCAGGTGCCTCACCTCAGCACGCAGGCATGGATAAGATCCTTGAACTTCTCCATCGTCGATGATTGGAGGGCATGGCATCTAGGCGGCCAGGCTGCAGGGTTAAGTCACCTGACTCCTTTTTTGCGCTTCAGCATATGCAGAACAAGAGCTTCACGTGCATTATATTTTCTAATGAGCAACACATCATTTCTTTTTGCAGATTTACCATCTCATATGCGAACAATTTGACATTTGCAACAATAAAGGTGATCTTCGTTTCCTCTTTAGATCATGCTTTTTGTCCATGAAACCATTATATCGTAGATGTAATAGAGCTCATAATCACTCGTTTGTACAGGGTGGTGGTCATACTGCTCCAGAGTACCGGCCTGAAGAATGCTTTGCCATGGCCCGAAGGTGGCTTGACAACAAGCAACTCTAATGCTTTGACCCCACAAAAATTTCTCTCATAACACAATTCCTTTTATATTTAATTTGCTTATCTTCACCTGTAAAGATGCACTCAATAGTGATGTATATGAAAGAGTAAATTCCTCAAAAGCACCACATTTGTGGCTTGGGTACTCCTTTACCACATTTTTTGTTCAAAATCACGTGAAGGATGTTGGACATCCAGAACCCAGCACGAGTGTGCACACAAATTTTAGTGTTGGGATATCAGAAGACCTTGATCCAATTGTTGAGGAAAATCATGAAGGAACAAAAGGTATTGATGAGATAACCATTAACTATATTGATCTAGGAGAATCATACAATAGAGAGACTACAATTGTCGACATTTATTTATCCTCTAGAATTGCAGAAGGCCTCGATTTGGATTGCGAATCTAAGTCCATGACAGAGTGCATGAAGCGCTCAGACTGGTCCAGATGGAACGCATCAATTGAGGATGAATTGTGCTCGCTCATACAAAGAGGGATATTTTCTGCAGTAATACCCACTCCTCAACATGTGTTCCCTGTGGGAGCAAAATGGGTTTTCGTTCGTAAGAGGAACGAGAACAATGAGGTGGTGAGATACAATGCGAGGCTTGTAGCACAGGGATTCACGCAGAGACCCGGCATCGATTATGATGAAAGATATTCTCATGTTATGGGTGGAACAACGTTCTAATATTTAATATCACTGGAAGTGAAATGAATTTGTCTATCCAGCCGATGAATGTTGTGACTGCATATTTATATGGGTCACTGGATTCGGATATTTATATGAAAGTTCATGAGGGAATGAAGCATCCGAATCCAAAGGCTAACCGCAACATGTATTGCGTAAAGCTTCAGAAGTCATTGTATGGCTTGAAGCAGTCGGGAAGAATGTGGAATAACCGACTAAGTATATTTCTTCTTTAGAAGGGTTACTCAAATAATAATGATTGCTCATGTGTGTTTATTAAGAAATCTAAAAATGGATTTTGCATTATTTCTATGTATGTGGATGATCTGAATATCATCGGGACTACACAAGAAATACATGAGGCAAATAATCATCTTAAGACGGAGTTCGAGATGAAAGATGTAGGAAAGACTAAATTTTGTTCGGGCTTACAACTTGAACATCTTCCTTCAGGAATACTTGTTCATCAGTCTGCTTATATCCAAAAGATTCTTGAGAAATTTAATATGGATAAAGCATATTCATCGAAAACACCAATGATTTTTAGATCTTTTGATAGAGATAAAGACCCATTTAGACTAAGGGTGATGATGAAGAGGTATTAAGACCCGAGTTTCTTACCTCAGTGCTAATGTATCTAGCGAACTGCACCGGGCCTGATTTATCATTTGCGTAAAGCTTCAGAAGTCATTGTATCTAGATTCAGTGCATTACCAACAAAGAGGCATTGGGTTGGTGTGAAGAACATTTTCAGATATCTTCAAGGCACCAAGGATGTTGGTTGGTTCAATCAGAAAAATCAAGATAAGACCATGATGGGATATTGTGATGCTGGATACCTATCTGATCCCCATAATGCTAGATCATAGACTGGTTTTGTCTTCTTGAGTGGAGGTACGACTTTCCCTTGAAAGTCGGCAAAACAAACTCCGATGGCTATGTCCACAAATCATTTTGAAATTATTGCTTTGTTTGAAGCCTCATGTGAATGTGTATGGCTTCGTAGAATGATAAACTTTATTGAAAGTTCAAGTGGGATTGGATCATTGGAATCACACACTATTATCTAAGAAGATAATGAAGCATGTATTACACAGATGCAAACAGCTTATATAAAGAGTAATATTACAAAGCATATTTCTCCTAAATTATTTTATCCCCATGACTTACAAAAAACTGGGGAGATAAACATTTTGCGAACAAAGTCATGTGATGATCTTGCTGATTTGTTTACAAAAGTCATTACCAAGTTCTTTATTCCACAAGTACATCGTCAATGGAATTGGTATGAAACGACTTCGGTACTTGCAAAGTTCAGGGGGAGTGTATCCCTGAATGATAATCTTATTGTGATCATTTTTTGACGAAAAAGCAGCAGATTGCTGATTTTCATTAATGAAGCGGTAGAAGAAAACAGTTACAAGGAACTGGAAGGAAAGAAGAACAGAGTCCATGCAAGGCGCCAGCAGCCTCGCCTATAAACACTGGCAAAGATCACAACTCAAGGTGGTTCAAAAAGCTGGCCATGGGGGCTAGACCCGCCTGTACCCACACTCTGGCCTCGTCTATGATTCTAGAGTGCACTTGGGACGCCGTGCAAGCTCTAGCATTGAAGATTTGATCGTTCCACTCTTTCCAGATGCACCAGGAGAAAAACAGGCAGGTGGCCCTCCAAGTAGCCCTATTGGCACGCGGCAGCGATCTTGTCTGGCTTCTAAAGCGCGTTCGTAGGCGGGTACCAGTGGGCATCGCCAGGTCCGAGAATGGGCTTCCTAGGGATTGCGCCGTTTTTTACCAGACCTGCATAGAAAATGGGCAGGCTGCGATGAGGTGTTGCGCCTTCTTAGGTGTCGCGCGGCATAGCGAGCAGATCGGGTCGTGAGGTATCTGTCGGCGCTGAAGGTTGTCCACCGTCAGGCATTTTCCCTGCAGCAAGAATCCAAGCGAAGGATGTGGCGCGCGGTGCTGCCTTGGCCAACAAGATGATCGCCTTGTCGTTGGTCGGGATGACTCCTTGGAACATTTTGTGGTAGTCCTAGGCCGCCGTGTACTTGTCATCCGCTGTCCACCTCCAGCGCAAGTTGTCCGGCATTCCCTTGCGGAGCATGATGCCCGCAGCCACCTCCCAAAGCTTGCATAGCTGGTGGAGCACTGCTGTGTTGGGGTTTGGCTTAACATAGCTCAACCATGCATTGCCCTCAAGCGCCGTCCGGGGTGTGAGCCGGCATCCGTTGGAGTGCGTGAAGAGCTCTGGCCACCGGTCAGCCGGCTGGCATCCTTGCGCCCAGTGTGAGCGCCAGAAATTAGTCTTCCTCCCGTCGCCAATCATTATCTCCGTCAAGGCTCTGAATATACACTCGGCCGCCGGATCGTGGGGCATCACCAATTATCGCCATGGCCTGGAGTCATATGTCCAGGGTGTCCACGGCCATCGAGCGCGCAGCGCAGCTCCTTGGTGCTACAGGTCATGCACACCCAGACCGCCAAATTCTCGCGGTATGCAGACCTCCTTCCAGCTAACAAGGCACTTGCCGGCCGGAGATGACTCGTCTGCCGCCCAAAGGAATCCACGTTGTAGCTTATCGATCATTTTAAGGAACCATATTGGTGGCGTGATCGCCATGATCCGGTAGATAGCCATTGCCGACTGTCTTGACCAACTCAATTCTACCCAGTAGCACAATCAGCTTGGCCTTCCATCCCCTCAATCTCTTTGCAAGGTAGTTAAGAATCGGTTGCAAGTCCTCCCTTCGCAGTCTTGCATCAGAGAGAGGGAGCCCGAGGTATGTGATTGGGAAAACCTTGGTCAGGCAAAGCCGTTTCCACGACTGCCTCCTCGACCAGTTCCTCTGTGCATGTGATCGGTGTGGCAGCGCTCTTCGCCCAGCCTGTCCGTAGACCAGAGACCGACTGGAAGAAATCAAGAAATGTGATGGCGGCGTGCATCTCAGATCTTGAGGGGTTAATGGAGAGCACGATGTCATCGGCATACATTGAGATTCTGTACGGCATATGAATCATGCCAATGCTCTAAAGGACCTGAGCGCGACTAGCAGCCTCGATGAGTCTAGCAAGGGAGTCCATGACAATGACAAACAGTAGCGGAGAGAGGGGGTCCCCCTGACAAAGGCCTCTGTGGTGGCAGATTGTGTCAGATAGATCGTCATTGATGCCAATTTTGGTTGACGCTGTTGCAAGCAGCCCAACTATCCAGTTGGTCCATCGGCGGCCAAAACCTCTCGCTCGAAGCAGATCGAGCAAGAACTTCCAGAAAGCGGTGTCAAAAGCTTTGGCAATATCAATTTTTAGCAGGATGGCCGCTGTTTTCTTCATCTTGAGTGTTTTGATCATGGCGTGGACGTACATGAAATTGTCTAGGATAAACCTTTTCTTTATGAAGGCACTCTGACAAGGTGCAATCAATCCATCAATTACTGGTTGCAGTCGTCTAGCAAGAATTTTTGCGATCAGCTTAGCCACACTATGTATCAGACTAATTGGTTTGAACTCTGTTAGCTGCGAGGCCCCTTCCACCTTGGGCAGCAGGATCATGACATTATTGTGATCATTGGATCTTTAATATTGCACTATTTTCTTTTATAAGTTTTTTCCTAAATGGTTTCTTATGGAAGGTTTTAATGAGGCAATAATAATACAGGCATTGTGATATGTCAGTTTCTTCTTATTTTCTCATTGAATTTTTGGAAGGAGTTTTTGATGGCATATGTACATATCTTCTCATATTTTTCCTACAAGATTTTTGGAGAAGACTAATCATGATGATCATCAAGATGTCGATGATGATGTTTACAAGAATAATTAAAGTAGAGATTAAGGGAAGTGTTATGATTAATTAATTAGTTTAATTAAATAGAATCTCTGCCTGTAGAACCGACAACCGGTTTCTCTCCCGAACGATCGCATCCTAATGTAACGGACGCGTCGTTCAGACCGTGCCTCTTGTAAACATCACGCCTGTGCGACGCGTCCCTTTCAGGGATATAAATTTGTCCATCATCGACATCAATCAATAGCGATTGTTGCTGTTCATTCACACTGTTTCTTCACAGAACCAACAAGGACGCACAAGAGGATCATGCAAAACGCAACGATACTCTATCATGTCTCCATTTTTCTTAATCTTCATTACATCGGTTGGATTACCTCTGATCCAGTCGTCGTACGCATATACTTCCTCCGTTCTTAAATATTTGTCTTTCTAAAGATTTCAACAAATGACTACATATAAAGTAAAATGAGTAAATCTACGCTTTAAAATATGTCTACATACATCCGTATTTTATAATACATTTAAAATGTCTAGAAAGACAAATATTTAGGAACGGACGGAGTATCAAATTCCATGCAAATCGACTAAAAAAATGACATGCATACGGCTACACCATCCGTTTTTTTTTTTGACCTGAGGCTACACCATCGGTTTTGTTATACTTATACATGCACGCCTTGCACGCTGACAGAGACGTATCTCTACTCAACTCATTTTTGCACTATCTTAAGCATGCGTGGAACATGCATGGATGAGTAGCGATTTGGGAGACATAGCGTGGACGTCATCTTAGAGTCTCCCCCCTCTTGCGCGGTGTGAAAATGTGGGACACGGAGGGGTAGAAAACTCGCATGCACACGCAAATTTCAGCTGATTTCCTACATTCATTATCTATACCGTTTGGGGCCTGTTGAGCCAATCACGCATGCTATCTTGGTGACAACATGATCCACACCGTCATTTTTTTCTTGTGACATGACAACAACAATGAGTAGGTGATCCGTCAATCATTCTTGCTCATCCAGTACCACTAGTTCATTTAAATCGACGCGAGCAGCACTGCTGGAGTTGTAGTACTAAACGAGGCCCGTGCCTACAACTACTCCTACAAGCTAGCTAGCACCCGGAAAAGCAAGCAAGAAAGAAAGAACAATATGCCTGTCAAGCTTCTCCGGACGCCTACCGCTGGGCGACGCCACCACTTGCCGGTGCTGCATCTCGTTCCCGGCCTCCTGCTTCTGCTGCTCTCGCGCTCGGCGTCGGCGTCGGCGTCGACGGTGGTCACCCGCCTGCCAGGATTCGACGGCCCTCTCCCCTTCTACCTCGAAACCGGGTAAGCCTGTCGCTGGTTCGATCTTGAAATGGCCAGGAGCCTCTCATGGCCGTCCGGAATTGCATGCCGTGCATGGCAGATACGTGGGCGTGGAGGAGGAGACCGGGACGGAGCTCTTCTACTACTTCGTCGAGTCGGAGAGGAGCCCCGGCACGGACCCCGTCATCCTGTGGCTCACCGGCGGGCCCGGTTGCTCGGGCTTCAGCGGCATGGTCTTCGAAGTCGGTTAGCCCCTCACAATCTCAAAGTTTTTTTTTTTGAAAAAGAGGATGACCCCGACCTACAGACATTTTATTGATTATTCATAAAGAATGTACAAAGTAATACATTAGTAAGTCTGAAGACACCATCTTGACAACATCTACTACTATTCAGTTGATGAAGGACTGTCATAGTCCGAGCCGAATACCAAACAAACCTCGCATCAAAGCCTAACATCTAAAGCCGGAGGCCCCCAGCTTGCCGGGTCTGGGGCACACATCAGAGTCCACCGCCGCCGTCTTCCACCGTTTCATCTTCAGAGCAGACACTACCGCATCAACCATGTCAAGCCTGCCGTCGACGCCACCATGACACCAGACAACGCCACCTCCCTGCGTACGTCCATCGAGATGCATCCGACACTGAGACTCTGTTGCACCATGCTGTCGGGACCCGCCGTCATCGACGCGGTAGATGCCACGTTGCACCACCTCCTGGTCCATATCTAAAAGTGGAGCGACGGTTTTGTCAGTTCGCCATGGATGATGGATATGCTTATACCCTCTTGCTCATCAGGGCACGGCTGGCCGGCAGGGGCGTCGTGCTGGGGGTGGGGCGCGGTGGTGGAGAGTTGCGCGTCAGCGCTGAGTGGCGTGGGCATGTGGCGGACGGCGTGCTCAAGAGGCGGCGACGTGCATCTGGATCTGGCGCGGTGGCGACCTCGGGTGTGAGGACCCAAAGAGAAAACTTAGAGAAAATTGAGAGAGAGGGGCGGAGAGATAGTGGGGAGAGAAACAAAGAACAGACAATGGGGAGAGAAACAACAAGAGACCAATTCACAAAGCCAGAGCGAAAGTCCTCCCCAGCTCAAATGAGCTCGGAATGAACACTAAAATCTGAAAATAATGAAAATAATCTGTTTTTCTGGCAAACTTTGACAAATGTTTTTAGTGCTTGAAAATTTTCATCATGAAATTACATTCGTGGGAGTCATGGCAAAAAAAAATCAACACTACAAAATGTTTTAAAAAATTGCATTTCAGAGCGTCGACTTTGTTTTTTTGCCTCGACTTCCATGAATGTCATTCATGATAAATTTTTGCAAGCATACAAAGCATTTGTCAAAGTTTGCTAAAAAAATATTTTTTACTTTTTACTATTTTTTATTTTACTACTCATCAGAGAGCACATGCGACTCAGTCAGAGGTGGGGATGTGAACTCGGGCAACGCAGGCGCCCCCCTCGCCGGCGCGGAGCAGATGGTGCTCGCGCCAGGCCATGGTCGACAACAACAGTGGTGGCGTGCAGGGTTCTGACATCCGGTGGTGTAGTGGATCTAGGGGTAGATTTGTCGTGGCCTTGAGGGCTAGACCGGATCCGGCCCGTTGAGGCCCACCGCTCCGGCGGCCTGTCTTCTATGGCAGACCCGGGGACGATGCTAGCTGGCCTCAAGGATCCGTGCCCCCGGCCATGGTGGGACTCTCTGCACGTGGGGCAACATCGGTGATGCCTGGTCCTAACCGATGGCAGTTCCATGCTGACATTGTCCGTGTCTTGGTGCATGGTTCTCGGACGCCCTGTTGCTTCGATGGTTGTGGTGGGTCCGTCTTGGATGCCAGGATGACGACCCTGAATGTTGAGGCTGCGCGCTTGGCTCCGCGGCAAGCAGCACGTCAGTGTGGTGGGGCCTTCTCTTGGCTATAGGGGTAGTGAGGGGAGGGGTGGTGGGTGATCCTTCCTCATGGTGGCTTCGGCGGTGGCGGCTCCTTGTCTGGATCTGGAGGTCTCGTGCTGGCAATGAGGCATTTTCCTCTGGTTGGGTTGGGTCTAGGGTACCTCAGATGGCAATGGCGAGGATCCAAGCAAAAGCTCCGCGCTTTTGGCACCGATGATGGTGATGCCTCGGGTGTCAATTACCTCTTGATGGCGTCGTTGTCGGTTTCTTCTTCGTGTCAGGGTTCCGGTGAAAACCCTAGCCCGTTGTTTTTTGATCGACGGTGGTGGCGCTCTGCGCCGTTACCCACCTGGGGGCGTCATCGGGGAACTCTGGCACCTTCCAGTTGCAGTGTGTCGGTGCCTTCGGGCTTGCTTTGATCTTGATGTCAGGTTTCGTTGTCTTTGGCATGAAATTGATTCGTTGGTCTCCTATCATTTACACGTGTCCATGTAGTCACCGTACTCGGTCCTCACTATCCACTGCAAGGATCGGAGCTTCATGGCCCGAAGCAAGAGGACAGATGCTTGCCCTCTTCGGCGATAGCTTGGTGTACTCGTTGCGTTGGGGTCCGGTGGTTTCCCAAGGCGGTGTGGTTAAGTTCCCCTTTGGTAGTCTAGGTTGCCTCATGTTAGGTTTGCCGACTCCTGTTTTCTTGCTCAGTTCCAGGTAGATGGCGTCCTCGCCATCCTCTCAGTTGTCTTTTTTTTAATCTTTTGACTTGCTTGAACACCACCACACACACGCGCCCGCTGTATCGGTTCGGCGTTTGGGCTTCATATATAAAGCGGGGCGAATGCTTTGTGCAATTTTGCTGATGGCTAGATTTCCGATATGGCGATATCCATCCATTGATCCATGATGTTCCTTTTACTGTCCATGATGTTTTTTCGCAGGTCCTATAAATTTTGTGTTAGCACCTTATAATGGTAGTTTGCCGCAGCTGGTCTCTAATCCCTACTCATGGTCGAAGGTGAGATATTCAGTCATAACACTGCAGCACTGGAGATGTTTCCTTTCTCTGATTTGTTAGCCTGTCAATACGCAGATCGCAAGCATCATCTTCTTGGATTCTCCTGTCGGTTCTGGCTTCTCGTATGCTCGTGATCCCAAAGGTTATGATGTCGGGGACATCTCGTCTTCTTCGCAAGTTGTCACATTTCTGAAGAAGGTGAGAAGAAACACTTACTGTTTTTCCAATAATTGTGTGTGGCAGTTGCTTACATCCTATGCCTATTTATGTGTAGTGGTTCAGTGATCACCCACGCTATATTTCAAATCCTTTTTACCTTGGAGGAAGTTCATATGCTGGAAAGATGATTCCAGTCATCGCACAATACATCTCACAAGGTAACTCTGGATAACACTATGCATATCCTATCTTAAATATAAATAAATCATGTCTTAACAAACGACGCATTGCGGACCCCTTAAGATAAGTAGTGGACGGACGCATTTAGATGGCTGCGTGCAAACTGCAGCAAGCCTTCCACTGTACCCCATTTTTTCATTTTTGTGAAAAAGGATATGGATCTATTCTAAAAGTTCATCAAAAGTATAAAGCATCTTCAACATAATAAAAATTACACTAAGGTCTCTGAACCACGGACGACCATTAACGCCACCAAAAGCTTATGCGCCTGTGTCGCAGCTCCCCTACTAGAGCCGGCCTGACCTTGTTGAGCCAGGAAGTCGTCGTGCATGTGACCCTAAGGACCTGCCTGTGTAGCTGTAGTCGTCACCGCTGAACCCTTGAATCGATCTGTAGCATTGGACACCGTATGTTGCCGTCGTGAACGCTATGCGAGAAACCTTAATATCGTCACAGCAGGAATCTACGCTGGAGCTTCGTCGATCCTTTCTGATGAGTGAACTCAAGGAGGATCGAAGCCCGGAAGACCATCTCGAAGGTGAGATGTCGCCATCAGCCTGAACGCCGTCCCTGCAAGAAAAAACCTAACCCAACGTACTAGCCGGAACGAAGGCATTGGGATTCCCCTCCCCCATCACCGACCGTTGGAGCACTAGGCAAAGGGAAGGAGAATCCACGGGCTGGACGGTGGAGCCAGAAGGGATTAGATCTGTAGTTGCCGCAAAGTGATAGAATATCTTAAGTTATCCGTGTTGATTAGCTTAGCCCCACCTTGCTATAGGTTAGAGCATCTCCAGCCGTTGGCCCCCCAGGAGGGGCTAAAAATCGCCGCCTGGGGGCGCACCGGCGCTAAACCGCGCACTGGAGGCGTGATGTCCCCCAGTCGCGGCGCCCACGTTTTTTGAAAAAAGTCAAATACGGCGCAAATACGGCTCAAATTTAACGCAAACATCGGCGAGTTCGTTCAAATTTAAACATATTTTACAAAAAAAACTAGCACGGGCTGCCCCCGCCGTCTCCATCGTCGTCTACCTCGTCGTCTACCTCGCCGCTCGCCGCCCGCCGCCCGCCTTTGCAGTTCTACATGCCGAGGAGGCGGTAGAACCGCGTGTAGTCGCCGCCGCCGCCGTCGTCGTCTCCGCCGCCGCCGTCCCTGCTGCATCCCTCCCCCGGTTGGCGCGGCGGGTTGGACGGTCCTGGGGCGTCGTTGTCGTCGCTGTCGAGGACCACGATGCCGTGCTCGTCGTCGCGCCCACGCTTGCGGGTGGCGATCTCCTCCAGGGCCCGGCGCTGCCGGACCATCTCGTCGCGGAGCTAGTCGTCCCGCGCCCACTGCAGGGCATCCTCGTCGGAGAAGCCGCGCCGGGCTATCTCCTCGTACTCCGCGGGGAGGCCGGGCTCCTGCTTGGGCTCGACGAGGACGAAGCGGCCGGTGGGGGGGGGGCAGAGTCGCCGATGCGGACGCCGGAGCTGCGGGTGCGCGCGCTGACAGGCGTGTCCTGGGGCTCCGGCTTGCCGGGACGGAGGCAGGGAGAGCCCTACGAGCGGCCGAACAAGGAGGAGGACGCCCTGGGCCGCTCCATGCGCCTCGACGTCCAGGAGCTTCCACGGCGGCGTGAGAAGGACGGGGGAGCGGGGTACTCGAGGCGCGGCGTGTTGCCGCCCTCGATGTACTCAAGGACGGCCTCCAACGTGCGGCCAGGCATGCCCCACCACCGGCGCCGGCCCTCGGAGTTGAGCCTGCCGGAGGGCACGACGCCGTTGGTGGCCTCGAGCTGCTCGGCGTGACGGCGACGGAAGTAGGGCTCTCAGAGCGGGCTGTCGGGGACGTACCGTGGCCCCTCCCTCGCCACCCGCGGCAGGGACGCGCGGATACGTGCGATCTCCGCACGCCGCGCCGCCCCGGTGGGTGGTGGTGGCACCGCCACGCCGCCGGCGCTGATCCTCCGAGCCCCGGGCACCCGCATGTCCGGCAGGACCGGGTACTCGGCCTTGAAAAGGACGCGAGCCTCGTCCTCGTGAAGATGGCGGCGCCCGAAGCCATTCGCCGTCGCCTGGAAAGCGCTCGACCATTCTTCTGAACTGGAGACGGCGAGAGGAGGAAGGGGGGGAAATGGGCGCGTTGGCGGTGGAGTATCTGTGCGTGCCTCCGGCGCGCTGGTGGTCGGCATATATAGGCGGAGGCGCCGTGTGGTAGGCTTGGCCGGCGCGTTACGCGTGGCTTGATGGTGTGGCGGCCGAGGGGACGCGCGTCGCCCGGCCTTCACTGCGCCCCCCGTGAGGCATCAATGGAGGCTGACCGGCGCGGCAGCACGCGCAGCGCGGCAGCTTTGGCATTGATTCGCCGCGGGAAACGAGGCGATGAGGACGACGAAACGGCGAGAAGAGAGTCGAGTCGCTGACGCAGCTGGCCCGCGGCTCTTCGCGCCAAAAACGATTCGCCCGGCGCCCCCGAGCGACCCCCAGCGCGCCGGGTTCGGATTGGGTCCGCCGGCGCCAATTTCGACTCGAGCCGGCGAAAACTGGGCCCTTGGAGGCGCGACTGGGCCGATTTTTTTACGCCGGCGGCCGAAAAATCGCCTGGAGACCTTCTTGAAGGCTTGGCTGGAGATGCTCTTAGGAGACACCAACATATAAACATGTAGGTTCCATATCTGGATATCCTTTTTCTCCAAAGTGAGGGTGAAAATAGAAAGAGGGTTGCTACATATGGCCGACTCCGTATAGAGTTAGGTCTAAAGCGGGTATGGAACCTGGAGCTGTACATTCACTCTATTTTGAGTGGTTTTGATGAGTGCAATGCTTTTCACTAAGGCATGACACCGTGGCAACGTTTGACCGTTGGTCACCACTGCTATCTTCATAAGGAAGGAGTCAATTTATGTCGGTCAAACATTGTCTCAGTGTCTTTTTTTTCTAACACAGTAGAGACGCAAGCGCTTATATACACGCGCATACATTCACTTCTATGAACACACATACGCACTCCCTACCCATATGAGGATCTTCTGTAGGCACCTCGTCGTCGACGGGAACGTCTTCTCCCACTAAATGCGCATCGCCGGACATCCTGAAATAAATCCAGAAATAAATGCGAACACCAGGACTTGAGCCCTGATGGGTTAGGAATACCACGGTCCCTCTAACCATTCAACCACAGATTGGTTCGCAACATTGTCTTGGTGTCATGTATCGGTCCAAAGTGGCAAGGGACCAGGTTTTCCTTACTTTAGAGTTTGGGGACCAAATCTAGACATGACAATCATTGATGGATTAGAAGAATTCTAGAAGTTAAATGTTGCTCTTTCCTTCTTTTTTTTCTTCTTGGATAAATCTTTATGGTCCCCACCTTTTAACTTGGACACATGCCCGTTCATGTTTTTTTCTATAAAGGGTAATACATCACCCGACCTATGCAACAAAGGCCGTTCATAATGTTCTTTTCGATTTTGCTTTACTCCAGGAAACGAACAAAGAAGGCAACCTGAGATTAATCTCAAGGCAAGTAATCCTAGCCTTGAAATGATCACTTTGTTTTAGATAGATTGTATATATAGGTAATAACAAAATGGGTATGCAAGTAATGTGAAATCGTATATTTTCTTTTCTTTGTTCTCTTAATTCAATTTTTTACAGGGCTATCTAGTTGGCAACCCTATTACAGGCTCCGCATTTGATGATTTCAACACCAAAATACCATATGCTCATGGTGTTGGAATTATATCAGATCAACTATATGAGGTAATTCCACAATAATACATTTTGACAAAGTGCAGTGAGAAAATCATGATTTTGTTTTCCTTTTCTTTCTCAAAGGCTGCAATGGCGAGCTGTGATGGAGACTATGTAACCTCAGTGACTAAAATGTGCGCGGGGGTTCTAAATACCATTCAAAAAGTAAGATTCTATTACTAGACTATATTACATTTATTTATTTTTGAACCTCGTAACTATAGAACAATTGTTCTACGGTAATTTTCATTAATCAAATATATACAAAATGCAAAGTACAAAGTGGGAGCAAGGTCCTCATCCTACACCTGTTCTAGGAAACAAACTCTACATTATATTTATGAAATTACTTGTAGCAGCTAAATTTGATTATGGACATTGTTCTCTTGTATTGCAGCTCATTTCTGAAGTTGACGAGGGATATATCTTAGATGATAGATGTGTACGTGCTGCTCCCAAACCTGTGAAGGATGATGCTTCAAGAAGTAGGTTTCTATCAGAAGAACAGATTCAGCCAACCGAATCATCTGCTGATCCCACTATCAATTGTTTCGTAAGTTAGTATTATCCCTGGAGTGTTAAATCTATAGAAGATTTTATCGAGTATGAACTGTTGAATTAGATGACTTGTCTATCGTTCCTCTAATGTGAATTTGTCTGAATTGCTTTCTGAATGAAGTCATATCGGTACTACCTATCTAACATTTGGGCGAATTACAACAGGACTAGAGATGCTCTTAAGATCAAGAAGGTGACCACTTGATATCTTCTCTGTTTTTCTAAATAGCTGGCCGCCTGTATGGGTTTTGCTTTCAATTTTTAGTGACTTGGTTTCGTCAATGAAATCGAGATTCAACTTCATTTCATCAAAAAAGAAAAGAAAAACCTTCCTGAAAGCATGCCTACGCAATAAAGTTATACACACTTCGGTTGCTCTGAACTTAAATTGATGCCGTCATTGCTTATGAATTATTTGAAATGTTGTTGTGATGATTAATGATTGCACAACTATGGCATATAGGGAACCATTGGCAAGTGGGTAAGATGCAGCAGTGAATTCCCCTATACACACGACGTCCCAAGTAGCATAGGGTACCAGTTCAACCTCACCACCAGGGGCTACCGTGCGCTTGTATTCAGGTGAAAATACCAAAGGAGAATTCCGGAGTTGTAACACACGGTTATATTTTCTCTTGCGAGAGGATTTTCATATGCTAGTTGTATATTTTTCCATGTCTTAAAATCATGACCCGTGCGCGCAGCGGAGACCATGATCTTTTGGTACCATTTTTGGGAACACATGCGTGGATAAGATCCTTCAACTTCTCCATTGTTGATAACTGGAGAGCATGGCATGTGGATGGCCAGTCTGCAGGGTTAAGTCTCTCTCTTCTTGATTTTGCCTTCCACTTTAGACCAAGTTTAAACATTGCTAACCCTTCAATGGATTACAATCCGACTGAACATCCTCACTCGGAAAACCAGGAGTTACATCAATCAAAGCATATAAAGGACACAATGCTACAGCATGATGGAATTACCTATACACACATAGACCCTGGCAAAAGAGAAGTTCTATTGCATATAAGTTTAGCAAATTAGCGTTCCGTTGGGGAAGTGCATAACCTTGTCAGCAAAAGAATTTTGCATGCTTCATGTTTCAGCTATATGTTGGTTTTGTATTGTCTGACTAAGGAATACATTTTCTTGCGCAGATTTACAATTGCATATGCAAACCATATGATATTTGCAACAGTAAAGGTTATATCATTTTCCCTTCTATCTATTATTTCGATGCATAATACAAAACCCATCGCGTTTATTACTGACAATAGACCGATGTGACAGTATAAATCATGGTTTGCTTCTTACGTACGCAGGGTGGAGGTCATACAGCTGTAAGCTACCGGCCTAAACAAGGATTGGCCATGGCTCAGCGGTGGCTTGACAATAAGCCATTGTGATGTGTGCTTTCGTTGCACCCTTTTCTCGTGTTGTCGTCAATGTTATAAATATATTGTATGTCCTTTTTCATCCGTTGGGACTTTGAATAACAGTTTGGCTAATTCTCAGTCGACTGAAACTTAACTAAGTCTCACTTGACAAGATTAGCCATCCAATTTGACGGACATGTGCCTTACCGGTAATATGTTTGATCGTGTGTAGCCCTGTTTCTGTTTGTTTTATCGCTAAGTCTCACTCGACAAGATTAGCCATCCGAATGAGAACAATATCGCAAGACGAACTCCAGTGGGAAAATGTCATTTTTCTCTAGTTGCATGTCCATCCTTGACACGCAACTGCCCCCAACACGACCAATTGTGTGTGCCGCTAGGGGGATGGTTCGATGATGGCGTTTCTGTTTTCTTTTCTTTCACCCACCGCACTAGAACAACATCGCAAGATGATCCCCAAGGGGGGAATGTCCTTGTTTCAGTTGCATGCCCACCTTTGAGATGCAATTGTCCCCGACGATGGCCAGTTTCATGTCCGGCCTCGACATGCAACTGCCCTGCCAACGGCCAGTGTTGGAAATATGCCCTAGAGGCAATACTAAAGTTGCTATTATCACATTTCCTTGTTATTGATAAATGTTTATTCTTCATGCTATAATTGTATTAATCGAAAACTCAAATACATGTGTGGATACATAAACAAACACCGTGTCCCTATTGAGCCTTTACTAGACTAGCTCGCTGATTAAAGATGAATAAGGTTTCTTAACCATACACATGAGTTGTCATTTAATAATGGAATCACATCAGTACGAGAATGATGTGATAGACAGACCCAATCATAAGCTTAGCATCTGATCGTGCCACTTAGTTTAATTGCTACAACTTTTGTAATGTCAAGTATCTGTTCCTTGGACCATGAGCTCGTGCCACTCCCTAATACCAGAAGAATGTTGGTTATCAAATGTACTCTGTAACTGGGTGATCATAAAGGTACTCTTCAAGTATTTTTGAAGGTACTAGTTGGGTTGCATGGATCGAGACTGAGATTTGTCACTCCATGTGAAGCAGAGATATCTCTGGGCCCTCTCGGTAACACAATATCCTAAGTAGCTTGCAAGCATGTGACTAAAGTATTTAGTCACGGGGATATTGTATTATGGAACAAGTAAAGAGAACTTGCCGGTAACGAGATTGAACTAGGTATGGCGATACCGACGGTTGAAACTTGGGCAAGTAAAATATCGCGACGCAAAGGGAATTGCATACAGGATTATCTGAATCCGTGACATCGTGGTCCAGACCGATAAAAAACTTCATTGAATATGTAAGAGTCATTATTGGCGTCAACGTCCCGTTATTGATTATTGATCAGAGAGGTGTCTCGGTCATGTCTGCATGTTCTCGAACCCATAGGGTCACACTTACGTTCGATAACGCTAGGGTAGTATTGGGATATTCGTAATGGTGAGTCTGAAGGTAGTTCGGAGTCTCGGATGGGATGCGGGGCACCACGAGGAGCTTCGGAATAGTCTGGAGGTAAAATTTCATATAAGGAAAGTGGTTTTCGGGGTTCCGGGAAAAGTTTGGTCTTTTTAGATAGTTGTATCAGGGAGTTCTGAAATGTTCCGAAGGTCCACTGGTGGGTCCCACCTGTCCCGGAGGCCTACATGGGCTGAGGGGTGGCGCCCTGGCCTACCTAGGCCTACCTAGGCCAGGCGCACCAGCCCCTCAAGAAATTGCCACGTAACCTGCCAAAACAAAGAGAAAATTGCACGAATAGATGATTAACTATTATTACACATTTAAAGTTGGACGCAAGTATAAATTGGACATCAAAATTTTTACGATGACAAATCAAACATTTTCACGGCAAATTGTGTTATCTGATCTCCCATCAAAAGAATTTGTGTTCTCTAATGATGGCAAATTTAGTTGGCGAGCATGGCAAATCCATCTCAATTCATTTTTCTGCCAGAAAATCGTTATGCGTGCAAACTAAATTTGTCATCGTCGTGCCAATCTATATCTATATCTATTTAAATACATTATAACTAAGCATCTTTCCTGCCCTCTCAGGGTGTTAACATTTGTAGCCGTCCGATCTTCACTTTCAGTCGTTTCTGGCCATCAGATTAGCCCTTAATCCCACGTCCGCTTGCATAGTTCACTAAGGAGCGCTAACGGTACTAGGCCGCTACTCTCATAACAATTTTGACCTTCTGGTGTTAAATTGGGCCCAATGGGCTTTCAGCTGTACCACTTCCCGTCTGGTGTTAAACCACTGCATCGCAACCCCTAAAAAAACCGCCGCGTCGCTCCTCCGTCCTTTCGTGAGCAAACCCCCGTATGGCGGCCGAAGCTAGGCGAGAGCGGCAGCGGCCATCCCGCATCCTTGACCTCGGGCAGCGGAGCCAACCGTGATTTGCCAGTTGGCCTTGCGGTGGCGCCTCTAGAACCAGCGTCCCTAGGAGAGCTGCCATCAGAGGGCGCCGTTCCTTCAACCTTTCACCCTCCCTTGAGATGTTTCCTTTCCTACAGTTCGTCCCTTTGTCTTATGCGGGGTCTCGCGTCCTGATCCATTGGTCTCAATCGATCGCTTCTCCTCTCTCTTCCTGTAATGCAGGTGGGTGATGTTGTTTGTTGGGGGTGCACGGCGATCAGTCATGCCGGTTGACGTTGATAGTGTGCTTACATTCGGTGGCACTTCTTCTCAGATCAATCAGTAAGTTCTTCTTAGAAACGGTATGTTTGTTTTTCATTATGTGCTACTGCCGATGGGCACTCTTCTTTTACCGTGTCACTTGCTACGGATCAGCATATCCTGACCCTCTCCTCTGCCCTCGTGTTATTCCTTTAATTTGCACATCGATCAATGCCTAAATTCAAAATTCGCATCTGATTTTAGTCTATTGTTCTTGCATTGCGGGTGATTTCTTTCTCTTTACCTTTCCTTTTACTTTATCTAGATATTATGGAACCAAAATTGCTATTCTGTGTGCCGAGCCAAAATCCTCAGTTTCTACACTTGTTAGTAGTACTACATATATTAGATCTATTGATCCAACTCTCCCCTTTAAACGTAATATTTTTCAGTCCTAAATCCCCATTTGTACTGATGTTTAATTCAAATCCCTGCTTCAATACGTACTTCCATGAAACTAAGGTGATGACTCCAAAGTATTTTACTTGCCTTAATCTGTTTCATTATTTTCTTCATGTTCCTAGCTTGTCGTTGGTGACTAGAAACCACATTTCACATTCGTACGAACATGTCTAGTTTAAAGTGTATCCTTATCTTTCGCTCGGTCACCCCCTATAAGATATGTTTGGTGCCTTCAAAATTTATTTTCCGATTTGTTTCCCCAGGATTTCAACAATCTGCTCTTGGTTAGGAATTGTATCCATCTGACCATTTTCTTCTCATGGTATGCCATTTGAACTTCCTTCAATCCAAATTAAATTCCCATGTATGCTCATTACTTTGTTGATTCCATTTTTATATTTTGTGATCCCTTTCAATTCTTTTTAAGGCGGGCCATTAGCACTTTTTCTCATAATTAAATCTCAATAGAAAATCTTTATCATAAATTTCTGTAAATTGTCATCTTCTTATATGTTTATTTATTTTCCATTTTGCTGATCAGGCAGGGATTAAATTGTTGTTCACTTCAGAAATGGCATGCCATGGTGCATCACATTGTGTTGCTAGGCTAGATCTCCTGCAAACTCCTACAAACGAACACCGTTCATGTGGGTTGACTTCTCTCGGCTTGCATTTGTATGAATTAATATGTGGCGACTGACTTTGTGTTTCATGCTTATATGCTTTCAGAGAAGGAAATCCTGAGTGACCAAGGAGAAAGCTTTTTAACCATCTACTTGACAGGTAGCAAATCTGTTATAGATGCAATATATTGATGTTATAAATCTAAAGCCAATCATGTATATTATATAATCCCAAATTCATTCAACATTCTTAAATCAAATAACATCTTTCTATACCATATCTTCAGTTTCAATGGGGTGATAAGGTACCAACAGAACAATGACTTGATTCCAGTAGCATATGCAGGAACTTAATTCCAGTGCAAGTACGTGATGTTGGATTCCTTACTTTGCAATACAAAATTTATTTCATTTGACCTCTAGGCAATGTTTTTCATGTACCTTTTGTATTTCATTTGCATTTGTCCTACCTTTTTCTTCCCCTCTTCTCTTCAGATTAAGCAACTAAAAGCAAACCAATGGATTTTTTCCTGACAGTAAAATGCAAACAATGACTATATATGCTGGAATTGGTCAATTATATTGCACAATATACAAGATTCTTATCAACATCTTAAATCCATGTTACTGTATATATCACCATGACACCATCATCCGATAGATTAATTATCTCTCTCTAAAGCATGCGATCCAATTTCAAATAAGAGTACCAAAGAGAAGATTTCTCACATTCGAGCATTGATAATTGCTAGATTTCTTAACTTTATAATTGTGCAACCTACTAACATCTTGCTTAATTGTAATATTATGTGTTTATCATGTTCTTGACATTGTAACTAACAAGACGAGAAGGCTGATCCGCAACCGGCACTCAAACTCTTAAAGGTAGAATGATAACAAATAATTGATATCCATTATCTTTTGATACTATTTATATTTCGTTTATCAATCTGATGTGAAAATAATACTGTTCTTATTAACAGGGGCTGAAGAATTATAAAAAGGATTTTGGAATCAGTAGCCTTGAGGACGAAAATCTAGGATCTTTTCACATGAGTATATCCTAATATTCAGGTTATGGAGCACATGCCCCTCTCCAAATCACAACATGGTGTAGATTCATGTGCACTTTTTATGCAGCTTTAGAATGTCTTTATTTGATGATCACTGCTAAATACTACCAACTATGGAGGATCCTCTTCTTTGCATTGTAACTTCAAAGTGATCTACCAATTATAATATCAGCTACAAGTGTTGTGTTATTCGACGGAGAAGTTGCT